TCACATTTTTGCATTTCCTTGTTATTTTAATGATGCCTAATAAAGGTTTAACGCAAACTAAAACTATTTAAGAAAGGGAGCGCAAACGTCTGCAATGTTAGAAACGTTGAATTGCAATTTTCTCAAAAACGGCTCAATATTTTTTGTTCAAACTTTTCGTAAGAATAGTGCTAATTTCAATGTTTGAGATGACAAAAAATGCATTTCGATGTATTCTTTTGTTTTTCCAAAGAATACAAAAATGCATTTTTTTCTCGCCGTCAATAAGGACAATTCCAGCAACTTCTAAACACTATTCCATTTCTGAGTAGAAGTATTTTAAATGACTTCAAGTTTTTCGAAAGCTCAAAAGATTTCTGTGAAAAAGAGCTTGCAAGTTCGTATTTACAGTGAGGCTTATTAGCGGTTTTCTAAAAAATATTGAAAATTTCTCAATGAAAATTGACATTTAGGTAGAGGTTTTACTCTTCTTTAATATTCATAAAGTAATAGTTCTATAATTAGAAAATCGAAAAATTTGAGAAAATTTCAGGAAACTTCTGTGGGCGGTGTTAGACGTCAGCTGCCAAGAGTGTATAGCATGTTCAAAGAATTGGCCCAAACGAAAGATAATAGAAAACTAAAACGAGAAGGTCTGTGCCATACTTTTGCACTACTATATCTGTGCACTATTTTTCATTATTACCGTTGTGTTCCTCGTAGCTTTCTCTACAGGTCTGTTTTTTTGCTAACTTTTGCAACAGTGGAATTGGCAATAGAACATGAGATGTTTCCTTAAGAATAACACTGTCCATAAGAGCCCACAGTCCATAAGTGCCTTCTCGAAGTGAAAATTAGTCCAGTTACCTTCACCGCAACTTTGTTGTGCCTAGCTTAATCTATCGCTCAGTGTTGAAATCGCACCAATATTGGTAGCACTTATTCAGAATCATTCATATCCCCTGAAAATCATGCATACTCGATATGAAAGAAAAGCTAGAATAGAAATATAATAATAACTAAGAAGGAATACACCACAATTTCCAACCTCGTCAGTTACCTAACAAGAAAAGCCCAAGAGGATTCATGGGATAAATATATAGCTGATATCGAAAATGACATACATGGACGGCAGAAAACAGCATATAAAATTATGAGACACCTTAACAGGCAAGAGAAGGACATAGCAGATATACAAATAATTAAGCCAGATGAATGGCTTTCTTACTACAAGAACTTATGGACCAATAAGAATGCGAGGGATAAGAATAAGAAGGTATGCAAAAATGAAAACCTCATTGAAGACAGCGTAGATCAGATAGAAGGTGAAGAACTGGAAGAGGCACTAAGTAAAATGAAAAATAGAAAAACTAGTGGTAGTGATGGCATAAAGGCAGAAATTCTTAAATGTGCAACTGAAGAATTTAAAATAAGGCTTCTCCACTTCTTCAACCTATGCTGGAACACAAGAAAAATACCAACCGAATGGAAACTCGCCGTAGTGCTACCTATTTTTAAAAAGGGAGACCGATCAATAGGTGACAACTACAGAGGTTTAAGTCTTCTAAACGTCGCTTATAAGATACTCAAAAATTGTGACCACTAGACTAAGAAAAATTGTAGAAACAATGTTGATGGAAGAACAAAGTGGCTTTTGTCAAGGAAGGTCCTGCACAGTAATATCTTCATCTTAAAACAAATTTTAGAGAAACACAGAGAATATAACAAGGAAACCCACATCTTGTTTGTAGATTACAAGAAAGCTTTTGACACTAGCCAGGCATACCCTCTTTGAAATATTACGAATTAAAGGAATTTCGAACATCTTATCCTAGTAATTGAAAATATGTATAATAAAGCTGAAATATGTATTACTTGGAAACCAGATCGAAAAGCGGAAGTGGACCAAGGCCTACGACAAGGATGTAGTCTTTCACCGCTACTGTTTGATATCTACATAGACGAAGCTCTTCGTGAGTGGAAGAGCAGATTAAAATTGTATAGCCTAGACCTACCTACATCAAAATTATGGACAGTACTTTTTGCAGATGACCAAGCAATAATAGCTGAAGGAGAAGATATATCACAAAAAGCAACGTATGAACTGCAGCGGTTAATGGCAGAATATAATCTTGAAATATCAGACACCAAAACGAAAGTGATGGCATTCCAAGGTCGTTACCCGATACGCTCAAAAATTGTAGTAAATAATAAAACAATAGAGCAGATACAACACTTCACATTCTTGAGAGCAGACATATTCTATGGCGAAATCGACATAAATAAGAAAATAGAACGATTCAATCAAATGAATGGAACTATAAGAATAACACTCCGTTCAAAAGTGAGAAGAGACACTCTCATTAAATTTTACTAAATTATGTCAATACCAACCTGCTTATATGGGAGTGAAGTGTGGACAATGACAAAAAAGATATATCAAGACTGGAGGCAGCGGAAATGAGATTCCTTAGAGCGATAGCGGGATATAGCCTTTTGGACAGACAAAGAAACACACAAATCCGAAAGAGCTAAATGTAGAAAGTCTTAAAGAGAAAGTCACCAACTACAGACTCTCATGGCAAGATCACATGTTGCTAATGAACGAAGACAGAATTCCTAAACAAGTGGCACATAATCAGCCGAGAGGAAAAAGGAATGTAGAACGCCCAAGAGGGGCAAAAATTAAGCGGCGTAACATGCATTATGCCTAAATACTTAAAGATAAGAAGAATTATAATTTAACAGTAACTTAATTTCAAGGGAGATGATTTTTCCACTCTTCGCACGTGGGTTCTCAAGTACTGGAATCGACTTCATCTAAAAACTTAAGAATCCTCAATAATGTTCTAAAATTACGTACTTGAAGATAAATTTTCGATCATGGAAAAAGGGAAATTTGAAGAAGATATGTAAAATATGTTTGAGAAACAATTCTTTTATTTGCTGAAAACAAGTTAACTACTGTGAAGCATGGTAAATTTTCCCTTATTATTTATTTATTTAAATACAAAGTTTTATTTTTGATTCACGGGCCAAGGTTTCAACAAAAGAGGTGGTTAGGTGTCAGCGATAAGCGATTAGGGTTTATCAGCACAGGCTTACATAATCTTCAGTACTCGGATTAACAAAACAATAATCTGATGGGAACAAAAACTATTAACTGGTTTTAATACCACATTTTGATGCGAATAATAATTGTTATTCATTTAAAATTAAACTCCTCTGAAACATATTAAATACTTTTCAGTTATTCGTTTATCGGCTGCTTGACGTTCCACCACGAAGCTTTGATGCCTTTCAACCATAAATATTACGTAATAATTGGTTACATTGTCATATTTAATTTGCTATCAATCATCAACACTATTAACAACTACAATTACATAATTTCTGAGAACATACACACCTGAATATTTTCTATAATTTAAAATCATAGAAGAGATAAGTAAATAAATAATTATAGGTTTTTTACTACTAAGTTAAGTTTCTTGGTTAATTTCGGAAACAATTACAGGAATCACTCTTCGCGGTATCAGTTACTGGAATAGTAAAATATTTTGTACAAATTGATATATAGTGTTCAAGTTTGATGAGTTGTCAAATTAGTTACGGTTTTGTTTCATGTAGCAATATTCTGCTGTGACTTAACTCCTCATTGCATATACCCTCTTCGCCCGTTCTAGTTGCTTTTATTGGTCATTACGTAACATTCGTGCAACCACCCCACGCAGCTGTGCAGCGTTCACGCGCGGCATCCGAGCACCCTGACGACTTCTCAAAGGGAGTTGGCTACTCTGGCTGCTGGATCACTTCCTAGCTCTTTGATGGGAAGACACGGTTCAAAAAAGTTACATCTACATTTATTCATTCGGGGTGCGAAAGCGTACAATAAGAAGCAGGAGATGAGCCGAAACCTACTTATATGTCAATGCACAAGTTACTCGTGAACCGTAAATCGGAGATAACCACACAAATTAATGCCGAGTAGAGATGAAGTATCCGTATAGAGATGAAGTTCAAACTCACACACAATGCATTGCGAACTCAATGAATATTTGTAGCTTTTTTCTGGTTATAATATTAAGATTTACATTACTAAGCATCCAAAATGTCAATGTTTCAAATACTTCAACAAGTCTTAGGGGTGTAGTGTGCTTGGAAAGGTCAATAGGTTTGCCTCAGCTGTAAAGTAGATCAAGCATATTTATTCTACTGAATCTGAAACAATTGTTAGGGGATAATATCAGGAACTTTCTTAAACAATGAAAGGAACCAAGATACATAAGAGAAAATGGAAGGCGAAGAGCACGTGCCGAGGAACCATCCGCCCGTTTCCCCCTTTTCGCCGTATTTGTCGTAGAATTCCTCCCAGAACTCGACTCGTTCCTTGTTGAGGTCTTCTTCGGCCTTCACTTCGCTGCCGATCTCCAGGTAGTTCTTCTCGTCCGTTGTGTAGGGTTTCCATTTCTCGCCGATGAGCGAGTCGTCTTCCGGAGTTGGTTCCCTGCAAGACATGTGGTGTTACAATACGTCATGTTATGTGAGATGGAAAGAAAGACATCGCATGCTACTTCGATGTGTGTTCTAAATAATAATTTTAGAGCTACGATGATAATTTTTAATTGATTATTTCCACATTTTTTACCGAAATGTCCATAGAATGTTCATAAAAAGTATGAAATTTTCCAACTTGAATATATTATTTTCACATTTGTTTACACTTAATATCTAGTTCTGCAAAATAATCATTAAGTTCCGATGAATTAATTTTTAAAAACTTATGAGACAGTTTTGGGCTATTTTGTACCGGTGTTCAGTATATCTTTCCCACAAAAATGTTTCAATTTTATTTTAATATATATGTCGAGGTAAAGAGTAGTTGTATATTCAGACCAACATTGTAAAGGCTGCATGAGATCGACCTCTCGCCCAACGATGCTTCGGGGCGGGGGGGGGTTGCCGTGAGGCCCTTCCTCTGCCGTGAGCTTCTACTACGCACGTATTTGGGAAGTTAGTCACAGGCGCACCATCCGCTGGCGCGTGAGGTATGCCGGGTTGTCCGAAGACACGTTGGGCAGGAAGGACACGTGGAAGAGGTATCCCAGTTCATCGGCATGTGACGCACCTGGATCATAAAGGTACAAGACAGGTTGGAAAGAATCGTAATTACTAGTGGAAATACTTTATAAATTACTTTCACAATGTATACTATAAGAGTTGATCAGAAAGTAAGGTAACTATAGATCTCACAAACACAATTCATTCCGCAACCTCATTCACTGCTTCAAATTAGGTGTACGAGTGCTCCACATAGTGACCATGTTATCCCAATGTTTCTCTGTCACCTTCACCATCACTGGTGGTTTCGCTATGGCAATTATTTCTTCATGGAAAAATAGTGTGTAATAGGTGTAAGCTAGAATTCCATTAGATCAATAGATGCTAATTACCTCCGTGAAAACAATCAAAGTGCGTCATGAATTTGCATACCTGATTTGAATTACTTTCCACCGAATTAACTTCTTGTTTCTGTACTTCGTTTTTTATCCGGCGACACGAGATGCTTCACCAAAAAGAAGTATCACAAATGACTTTCATGAAACTCAATGATTTGCATCTTTGACCCTTTGACGCAGCACTTGGATGGTGGGGAAAAGTCATTTAGATCTGGGGAAGGCCGCAGAATGGCGGCCTGTGCCTAGGACCCGACGTCCCCCGGACGGCTAAGTAATTACTGCCGTCCGGAAGCATCCGCTCTCAGGCAAAATATCGTCGTGGAAGTTCAGTAAACCGTCGCCAAGTGTCATTACGTATTCGTCGACGATTTCTTTCATGACGGTATCGCCGTCTACGTATAGCGTTGAAAGAAATCTTTGAATAAGCATTGTTAACGATGCGAAACAATGAGTACTAGTGCAATCCAAATAATGTGAGGGATTGTGGGATACATTGTGCTCGTGAGAACTCTTGATCTTACTTTCTTTTCACTCTCGCATTTAATTAGTTTCAGTTATATTAGTAGTAATAAAGAAATCCAGATAGCTATTAAATTTGCTTATTGGTTACCTGGATAGTTCATGTCGAAATGCTTTTTGAGAAAATTAAGATCTTGATCTGCTATAAAACTATACACATATATGTTTCCTTTTTTCGCTTTTGGCATATATTCAAGTCCATAATACAGACTGAATGCAGTCTGCAGATCTGAAAGCATCTGCAAAGATGAAATATTTCTGAATTAGTGACATATTTGTGAAAGAAAAAAATCAAGATTAATATGTTAGAAGAATAAAGACAGAAGAATATGTAAAAATACAATTTTTTACAGGACGAAAAACCTATCATAATCCGTTAAAATGATTTACGTTACATACAATGTTTAACAACTGAAATGTATCAAATTTTTACGCCCTTGTATTACATATTTATATTATAAAGAATAAAATATATAATGCAACGGCGAAAATCACAATTTTAGGATAGAAAAACTTCCATGCTTTGCACAATTTTTAGCTATCACAGAAAATTTTTCAGTTTTCGAAAATATATTGGAAGTCATTTGAAACATTTCGACTCACATAAAAAAAATAATGTTCACAAATTTCTGGAAATGTGCATATTAATCGCGTGAAAGGTATTTTAAAAAACATTTGGGTAATTTTTGAAAAAAGAGTATTCCAAAATTAATTTTACGTCACATTAAACAATGTAATTAGCACTATCCGTACGAAAAATTTGAAGAAAAATATGGAGCTGTTTAAAAAAAAAGGTATTTGCGCGTTTCTGAAAAAGCGGAAATATGAACTCATTATAACAAAACTTTTGTGATTCAGAAAATTTATTAGACATAATTTAAAGCATATATACTCATAAATTCAATAATGTAAACAGGTTGCAGCTACTGAAAATATTACCGACATGGCGACAAGTAAAAAAATACATTGTTGTAATTTTTCAAAAAAGCAAAAGAATAGAGCAAATATGGCGTTTATATCATCCTATATAATTTATTTATCACTATCCCTACCACAAAACTTGAACTGTTTTTGGGAAAATGTTAGTTAATTAATAAATTAGTAAATTAATTATATTCAATATTGGACATATTGCAATTAGCAAATAGTCCGCAAAAACGACTAAAATTTTCTAAAAATGTACATGACATCAAAGACAGAACTATGAAGAACAAATTTCATTTGAAAGAAAAATATCGTCAATAGTCATCAGTTGCAGGATAACGCCGAAAAAATTCAAACTTTTGAGATTTTCGAAAATGTAAAGTAACAGTGACAATCGGACCAATGCTATCTTTATAAGTCTACGTTACTTTATTCCATCAAAAAAATTTAAGGTGAAGTTTAGAGCCATTTCTGGGAAAATTTTGAAAATGTCCGGGGGGCTTCATGTAAAGAAACCCCTAATTTTGAAGAATGTTTTTAAAAACCGCTGTTACTCGAGTCAAGCCAAATCGATTGCAAATATCCATTTCGGAAAACATTCTAGGTAAGGTTTAGGCGCTAGTGTTCACAAACGGGCAGCCAGCCAGACAGATGGGTACGCAAACGAACTGGACAGACGGACGGAAAAAAACCAACTCTTTTTGAGAGAAAAATATCGGTAACGAGGGACCTCAAAACGTGTATTTCTGTTGAAATCTTGAAATGGATTTTCCGCAACATTACATAACTTTCTCTACACTACGTCTATCAGTCCGTATACACGTACGTATAAGGTAAACCGTGGTGCTACAGACTGGTACAGACTTTCCCTTATTAGTTTTATATTTCTTTTTGTCTCGGATACCTATTCGGACTCTTGTCAGCTGACATCTATCGCCACCCAAAGTATTTTGTTTTAAAATTTTCTCAGTTTCTCGGTTTTCTAATTGTAGAACGGAAATATTTTAAGAATTTTAAATAACAGTAAAATATCGTCCTAAATTGCAAATTTCTTTGAAAAATTGGGAGCCGTTCTAAGAAAATTGCGTTTAATTGCAACTGTAAATTGGAATTTAGAAGCTCTTGCTGTCAGAAAGCTATTGAGTTTTTGCAAAAAACGTCATTTAAAGCAATTTATTCACAGATACAATAGTGCTTGCTAATTAATGGAAATTTGCATATTAACCTCAGGGGGAAGACCCTTTAAAAATATTATATTTGTGCAATTTTTGTAAAAACAAACCAAAAATATCCCGAAATGAACACTACGTCATATTAAAGAGTGCAATTAGCACTATCCGTTCGAAAAGTTTGAAGAAAACATTTGGAGCCATGTTTGAGAAAATTACCTTCACGCGTTTCTGAAAATGCGGGATTTTGAGCTCGGTTTCAAGAAAACTATTGAGTTTTCAGGACACTTTTGAGTTTTCGGGAAACCTTTATCTAATGTTATTTAAAGCAGATGTGCTTATAAATACATTAATGTAAACAACACAAACTAAATAGCCCAAGTCGCACATTAATCTAGCATCAATCAACCATTTTCCAACCGGCATTAAAAACAGATTCCCTTTAGGAGCCCTTAAAAAGTTCTTCACATAACAGCTAAATGCTACAAGCTTTACAAGTCTCCTATATCAGTGTATAATTAAAATAGTTAAATGTTAGTTACAATAAGTAAAATTAAATGTCAACGAAATGCAAATGCAAGTTAAGAAACTGAACTATGTAAATAATAAATAATAATAAATAATTTTTTTAAACTTTTTCCGCCTACCCTCATTTTCTCAAACGGCTGTGTTCTTTTCCTCAGTCTCCTTGAAACCTCAAAAATGACGTGACTTAATTATTTTGATGTAACGCTACCTAATAATGAAAGTACTGTTAAAATATCATCAAAAGGTAGACCTCTACTCTCTTATTCTGATTCTGTCTATAAAACACAATACATTAAATGGCAAACATAAATGTATAAAAACCGTTGCCGTTTTTGAGTATTTAACCCAATTGAGTTAATTAACATATTTACTCGTGAAATACACACGCAAAATACCACTTGCACATGAAGGAAATCTCGATACATCCAAGCGTCGCTTCGATTTGCTACTCGTGAATATTTCAAAAATTGCCCTCACACTTGTGGTATTACACATGACAATTTGATAAGTCGGATACAAAAAACAGGAGGCCTTTGTATTAGTCGCGCAACTTTTCTTGAACGATGACCTTGCTTCCCCCTCTCTGGCACAATAAACATATGAACGCAAAAGCTCGCAGCGAGCACTGATGACAACATTCCTAACACATCTTCACTGGCGCGAAATAGAAACAATTTTCTTTTGAAGACGAGAACTTCTATCGGTTATTTTCTCCAAAAATCTAAAGAAATGACCGAAGCAGGTACGAATCTATCACAGGGGATACCTCAAACTCTTGACAAAGTTAGAACGCATATTATTAAGAACGTTACGAAGGCGTGACTGATTCTCCAGAGATTGGCATTGCTTCATAAAATCTAGTGGCCGATTTCGTAACTCTTACCCCCACTCTACCCGCATTTCTACAATCCATCGTTCAAGAAAAGTTGCGTGAGTAGTAACACTCTTTTGGGATAAAATACATCAGAATGTTTATGACCGCAGGACAGTGCATGAATAGTGACATTCTTAATGCCAAGGGCATAGCATACATAGAATTATGAAATGGTGATTGTCACGCGAGCAGTCCTAATTACATTTTATCCACCCACAAGGTCGTGTAATCTTTTTGAAATACATGTAAGTCGAACTAGTCGCGTGCACCGAAAGTGTAATCACCGACTGTGTCATTATACTTTGCTGACAAGACTTTGCTTACAATACTACTAGAATAGGCTGTCACACAACAGACATCCGCTGAAGTTTGAAGGCAATTTGAAATCTCCAGTACATACGCCATTGTGTACATATCCAATGCAAATTTGCACAAAACTCCACTTCCCTAAGTATGGGGCAAAAGGTGCATAGATTATGATGTACACATATGCAATGTTCAGATCAAGTTAATTGAATCTAGTGGTGCTAAAACAGCACATACTTTCTCGCACTCAGTATTGGTTTCTAATACTATAAATACCGCAATTTCTGTCCGAAGTAACGCATCTCATTCATATTTTTTTTTAAACTTATTACAACTAATTAAACATTAAATGCGAATACTAAATATTTTCATGTAAATATCAACACAAATTTGGCAATTAAAACTGCATTTCATACAGCTAAATAATGTCCAAACAATGAGACGGAATTCACAGAACTATAACTGCCGGCTCACGAGGCGGAATGGCATTGTCACATTCCAATTTGATATTTCCTGAAGGCTAGCAAACAGTGTACGGGAATTTAGAATATGCAAAATTACATCAAACTACTGTTATTTTTAAAAAATTTACATATCTTTTCTTAAAAAACTAATTTTCAGAATAGATTTCATTTAACAAAAGAGTCGGCAACATCGCGCTCGGATCCAACAAGAGAAACCATAGAAATGTAGTAAATCTGAGAAATTATAATAGTATCTAGGCCCTGAATGAAACACTCAAATCAATAAATATCCAAAATTAATCACCTCGATATTACTTTGCTCTTCGAACAAACGATTGCGGGAAAGCATAGTCTTCCACGCAATATTTGTAACGCATACCTAATATGGATTTAAATTCAACTTTATATAAACATTTTTTCGCACATAATGTTCTACGATTTCTAATATTCAGTTAATTAATATTAATTAAACAATAAGAAGCGATTTTCAGAATACCCAACAGCTTCAAAGCGCCTATTAAATTAATTTTACAGACTGACACCATTTACAGGAAGCGTAGGAAATTCGAATTTACCATTTCAATTTTTTTCCAATTTACACAAAACATTCATTACCGAAAAATTGAACATAATATTTTTTTAAGATCTGTTTCTTAAGAAAACATTTCATTAAGAAACAAATCTTTATAATCATAGTAGAAGGAAGATGCCCAAAAAATTTTGAATTTTAGTTATTTTCATTACATCAGTGATTTTAACGTACACGAAACCTGCCATTTTCCTTTAGCGTCCTTTATGCTATATGATCTAAAAATTTAATTAAAATATGTGTTGTTTTTAAGAAAAAATGATTTAAAAAACAAAAATTGCCAATGTTTGACACAAAATTACGCAAAAAATACTCATATTTCCGAAAAATTAAACAAGAAATTTTTAAATGTCTGTTTTTGATGAACACGTTTTACTATGAAAAC